AACAACAACAACAACATCAACAACAACAACAACAACAACAACAACAGCAACAACAACAACAACAACAACAACAACAACAACATCGCTTGAAGACTCGTGAGTTGGGATGTTTATTTGGGCTATTTTGCGATTAGTTGAGTAGGCCTACCTTTCCTATTGGGAGAAACATCTTTTCGGATCTTTCTTTATGACACGGATTCTTCTTCCTCCTCGATGTCCTTCTTTTTTCCAAATTTCTTTTTTCTTACAAGCTTTCCATTCTTGTTTCTGTCTTTCTTTCCATCTTGTTTCTTACTATATATAATGTATATATATTCTTTTATAACATTTTCCCGTTTCTGTTTTTTTCGTTCTTTTCGTTCTTTTGTTCTTTCTTTGTTGTTTGTAAGATCGTGTTTTAATTTTCTTTATTTGTAATCTTTCTTTGACACCTTCTTTTCAATTTCTTTCTTTTCTTTTTTCCATCGCTTTACACTTTCCTTTATTTCTTATCACCTTCTCTTCTTTGCTCACTAAATGCTTTTTCTTTCATAAATTGTATTTATTTATTTATTTATTTATTAATTCCTTCATTCATTTGTTTCTGCCTCTGAAATAACATAACAGTGTTGATAGGGCCGTTAAACCTACACCATTTCGCAATATGTGTTTATTTAAGTCTTTTGAAATACATAAATCATTTATAAATCACGTATTTATTTCAGGAACTGCCAGAGAACGAGCTGTACTGTCCCCCGATCACCATCCGCTGTGTGGACTGTCGCAGTTTCGGACGCTTCACCCTGGTGGGCACTCACGTGATCAGTAACTTGCACAAGTTTATGTACGTGCCCACCACAAAACACGCAAAGTCGGCACTGCAGAAGATGTTCCCGAGTGAGTGCTAGTGTTTGGATTGTTGGTAATGTTGTTGTTGTTGTTGTTGTTGTTGTTGTTGTTGTTGTTGTTGTTGTTGTTGTTGATGATGATGATATTGTTGTTGTTGTTATTGTTGTTCTATTTGTTACTTTTGTTGTTGCTGTTGTTCTTGTTGTTTTCGTTGTTGTTTTGTCTCTGCTGCTGCTGTTGTTGTTGTTGTTGTTGTTGTTGCTGTGCTATGTGCATTAAAGAATAACGCGAGTGGTAAAGAAGTTAAAGGGAAAGGTGAAGAGAAAGACCACAAGAACGAAAATGAAGTGTGTGGGGAGAGAGAGAGAGAGAGACAAAGTACTATGACTGTACAAAAAAACACCAAAAAGAGGATTAGTGAGAATAACTCAGTAATGATAGATTGCATTTAATAGATTGCAGTTATATAGCGCTCTATCCCTTACTAATATAAGCTCTAATCTTATTGCTTTAGATAATATAAGGTTTCAGGGCGTCATAGGTTAAGGTATAATTTACGTGCTTACGTGCCCCTGTGGTAGTACATGGTGCATACAAAGTGTTGGAGGTTCTTCCAGGTTCTAATTCTTTATAATCTAATCATTTCACTCTGAATGGATTATTTGATAATAATA